TACAAAAAATACATTTTTTCCTTTTGTAAATTTTCTTTTCATTATTAAAAAATACACGTTTACATTAAATATTACAACAAAATTAACTAAAGTAATCACCCTTGTAGCCAAAAGAATCGAGTGCGATCGTGAACAAATCAAATGAGGAAGGAACACAATACCCTCACTTTTGGTCGGTTGTGGCAAACAAATTTAGATTCTGGTTTTTATTGTTGCATTGTAGTTACGGGTTCGGGCTTAATTATGTAGAACGACCTTCAAATACCTTATTCAATAATAAGCTCGTGAGATGGAACGGAAAACGCAATTATTGTTTACTAGCCGGTCTGTTGTTGAAGCGTATAGTTTGAAAAACACTGCTGACGGGTTTTTTACGGATTCTTAACGTACATGAAAATAATCAACCAATTGTTCAACTTTTTTAATATCGACCGGCCGAGTGACAATATATTTCCAAATGGATATTCCAAAATCGGGGTCTTTGGCACGTACCTTGGCTTTTCACTTTCGAAAAATCGAATTTATGCAGCTTTGCCCCGTGATGGAACCTATTGGAAATGGGGAGGGAGGTTGGGGGGTGTGGAAGTAACTTAAAAAAATTAAAAATCGCGTGTGCAAGGGCCTACAAAAAAAAAAACAATTTTTCAAAAACCGTTTACAAGACCGGAAAAATTCTTGAACCAGAAGACGCAGAGGATACGGCTCCACTTTTATTCTTGATAATTTTTCAAAAATAGAAGGGGTGCGCCGCAAATTAAAAAAAAACTGAAAAAAGGATCCCCCTATTATTGAAAATTGGCAATAATTTAAAATCTACAGTACAGTACAGTACAGGGTGGTCGAGATATTCCGTGCAATATTAAAAACCGTAATAAGTGCCCAAAATTTGCAGCTACCGACTTCAGATTTGGCAGAGAAGTAGAACTTCAGACCCACATTTAAACTATTAAAATCGAGCGCAATTAAGTACCGCAAAATATATTTTGGCTTCCAGAACAACATATTTTGCTCCAAAACCAATCATCCGATCGGAAAAATTTTACAACCGTAATACGTGGGAGATCCGACGCTATAACTTTTGTTTCACGCATTTTTTCGATTATATACAAGGTGTTTTACGCGATGACGTCATTTACTATTGTACTGCATGGTTTAAGTTTTCTCGAAAACTATTTATCCTATTGAAAAAATTGATATACCGGGAAACGTGGGAGATCTAGGGCTATAACATTTACATGCGGCATTATTTGGATTATGTGCAGGGTGTGTCGATTATTTGTTTTAGTGGATAAATTATTAGCCGTAAATGGAAAATTATAAAACATGAGATAATTTGGTTTAAACAGTGTCGAGAAAGATTTTCAAGTTTCGTCTATCATCAGGATGCGCCAGATATTTGAAAAAATATAATTGGGAATTGATATAATTGGCAAAAGTTTTTGAATTTATCAAAGTTTGAAGTTCGCCGAGATGTCAAAGACACTTCGTCCAGGATACATGCACAATAAAATTATCTCAATTTTGCGAAAGTTCCATAGCGATCCGCAGGAACATGATAGAAAAACAGTGCGTTCCGAGAAACCACGAAGCAACTTCTTTTGAAAATAAAAAGCTGCTTCGCTCTACTTGCAAAATTGAAAAGTACATAAAAGACTTTTTTAAAAAATCGTTAGTCAACGATATAGTCTTCGTGTATGTTTTTCACCAATCTGCCACCGCATATGAAAAACATAGATGCAATCACAAGGAGGTAAATCAGATTTTCACATTAGTTCTATAATTATCTAAAAACTGCCCATCAATTAGTCTAGTCCTCCTCACATTGGATAACGTGTTCCAAACGACTTGATTGCAAAATATCGTTTTATTGTGGACCTTGTATCACCTATTACGTAGAGAAAGGTCGACGACCAATGCAACAACTTCGGGGTTAGACGATTAGTCCTTTTTAGGGCATACGATGATGAGCAGATTCAAACTCGATCTAGAGAAACGGTATAATCCTACTCAAAACATAGGAACAGTTTAACCTTTTTTTTTTTAATGGTTCGATCGTACGATCTAGCTCTAAAAAAATGAAATTCCCAAACTAATCGCATATAAAAGAACAAATTTTTATATATTTTTAAACGCGACAATGCGTTGTTATTACAATAAAGTAATAAAACCGCAACACCAATGCATCGATTCAGAACGATAAGGGAACATAAAGCCAATTGCGACAGTGAAATGTAGAAAAATAAATTTCGCAGAGCTGGTCCCTTATTCAAAAAAATGTGAAACCAGGGTATTAATGCTGCTGCCAAAATTTCATGCAGATTAGTTATTATTTATGGTAATTTATTGAGGATTTACGTACACACAAAAAAAGTTCTTGAAATGTTTTCACTTTTATGTGAATGGTTTCTATCCAGCTAGAGTGATCTATTAGCCATTCTATTTTCAGTTTTTACATAAGCTATGTGGCCCATCAGTGAGAGCCACATAGCTTATGCTGTGCGGAGATAACTGAGTTTTCATGTACCTCCAAGGACATATTTGCATAGTTTATGGATGTTAGGATGAGACTGTCTTCTAAATGAATTTTCTTGTCTTAAACAATAAAAATCATAACAATTATAATAATAATTATTATTTAAAATATTTATTAGCCAGTCAGGGGTCGTATTGCCTCAAATTTAGTATATAGTATGAAGTATAAAGAGAAAATGAACTGGAGTTTTATTAACCTACAGTTAAATTTCAATCTGAGATTAAATTAATATGAATACAAACATGGATTTGACGGAGTACTGATAAAATTAAGCATCTACCACGTTATTTTTCTCTCGACGTTTCTTACGCTATTAACGAAAAAAATGATTACAGCAATATGTGCGCCTTAGTTTGAAGTTCCTAAAAAGGCTTGAAAAAGTTGAAATTCAATTAATAAGATTTTTTTGTGCAGGTATATTACTGTACTTGTACTGCTAGGTTCTTTAAAACAGTATCGTTCTGTTTCAGTGACCTGATTCTTTTGACAGCGACAAAAATCAACGAGCTTTTGGATATGGAAAAAAATATTTTCGTGAGGTGGAAAAAAATGAATGAGTGGTGTAAGGAACAGAAAAAAGCAAGGAATCCAGATTCATACGGAAACTAATTAAAAATAAAGATTCCACAGTAACCTATGTACTCGAAATATATAAAATTTGCAGGTTAGAAAGCTAAATTTTGGAATTTAGCAGTTTAAGTTAACTGCTTAGCTGAAATGGTAGAACACATTCTTCTAGCTAAATTTTTGAATAATAATTATTATAATACTGGCCATAGCATGTATCTTAAAAAGTGCCCTTACTGTTCCAGAGATGAATTAATTGAACCATTTCGATTCTATGACTGGCAAAAATTTTAATAAGTAAGATATTTGCACTTGAGTTACCCTTTTTTTGGATTTTATTAGAATCTTGCATATCATCTTGTACTTTTCAGAAGGTTAGCTGGTTAATCTGACATTTAATTTAATTTTGTTTTAAAATCACTAACGATATTGAAAACGCCTAGAACTAAGAGTTTACACTATGGTGCATAAAAATCATCATCTTCCTAACAACTTAAAGAAGTTAAGGCACCTGCTTATTACGAATTGTTTCAACAGGAAATAATTATCCGGCCAGTTACGTTCGCAGTACTGTTTGGACGTTACGGTCTGCATTGTGCGAATAGTAAGGTACGAACACGTATAAATTAGCCATTTTTAAACGTTAAAAACGAAAACTAACCTAAACTTTTACCGGGTTGACGTTTTATCCGCAAAATTTTGCAGACAAAGTCCGAACAAAAAGTTCTCAAATCGAAACATGTTTTACTTCGTGCACCTAACTACGAGCTGAATTAGATTGGCTTCTTTGTCTAACTTTTCCACAGTTCCATATTTTCTTCTTTTAGTAACATGGGTTTCTTTAAACTTGCGATTACGTGCGATTCTCTTTTTGAGTGGTTGGTATTCATTTTTGAGTTTAAGAGACGTCTGCCATCATTTATTAAATTGTTTTTTCTACTCCCTTCTGTATAATACCTCATTATTATATATATTATTATTATTATAGTTTCTTGTACCACGAATCATCCGAGCCACTTTAGACATTTCCGGGATTTTACCGCACGGGTTTGGGGGCAATCGGATGTTTGCGGAAATATTACCGCACGGCTTGAATTTGACGTTTGTGAATTCAGATGGTTATGTACGTGAATGTATTCATGTTGTTTTGCAAAAATGTGCCCAAAAACTAACAGTGGTAGAAAAAGTATAGTATGCAACTTGTTTGGTAAACTTTTTAAGTCACTCGTTTATTAAACTTAATGCCGTTTACCACAGTTGTTGTATAATATACTATTAACATTCTATTGCACTTAGACATTGAGATATACCAAAAAGATTTGAAGTGTCACAAATCTGAGTACCACCCCAAGCTATTCCTTGACAAATCTGAGTCACCAGAATGAATGAGAATATGACCAGCTTCGTCGTCCATAAATAAAAGTTTGTTTGGTCCGGATCCATAGGTACTAAATATATAAGACGCATTGTCTGCGCTGATAATACAGGAATTTTGAATCCAATATAAAACAAGGAGATTTTTTCAACTAATAAGACTAATAAGAACAGAATAAACATAATAATAATATAATAACAAAATAAATATTCAGTCGAAAAACGGGAGATGGAGGTCAAAGATTGGAAACAAAATGGCGCAAAGTGCAGGTTAGTATGTCATTTTTTGGAGCATGCGTGGAAGATATATTAATCCCTTCTGTCATGTCAAGTGCAAATACTCGCGATAATACCAACTACCAATTAGGCACAATATATTTCGCAGCCTTGCATTTCCATACTTGAAAATGGAATAATGTTATGCGACCAATGTAAACAACATTGAGTTTACGGTATAAATAGGTATATTTCTGCCGCGCGTGTCTAGAATCAAGCAGAACAAGCAAACCGGAAATGTTCGACTCACCTCTTGAAGAGTGTTTGGGTTTTTGGTCGTTTTGTTTAAATATCGCTCTTGGTTTTGACAAAATTTGGCCGTCTGCTTTTCGAACTTCTTTTTCTCAGCTTTCACTCCCCCGATGTACTTTTTTCTGAAATCTTCTAGAGGTTTTACCACCGACGAGTTGGCGTTTTCTAACTGAAAGGCAATAAATTTTAATCACCTGTAACCAATGGTTTAAAAATATACTAAAAATACATCTGTACGCAAAAAACATTTAACACTAGAAATCTGATAAATTAGTGAAATCTGTGAAATCACAACATATTTTTAGTATGTTGTTGGATTTTTAGCACTTTTCATAAATTTATACATCGCGCTTTATGATTAAAAATTTCAACTAAAACAAAAAAACAACAATTTGAAATATAATTTGTAAGTAATGTGTAGATTGCGTCTAAGGAATGACGTTTCGTTTCACTGCAACTAATTTTGACAAACAGCATTTTTTGACAACTACAGTGCTAAGAATACGTAAGCATAAAACAGAAAATAAATCGAACTTCATTGGTGGGATATTAAATTTTGATTTCTTGGAATATTTACTTAACTAAAATAATCAACGGATCAAAAATTATTCCCGTATATCTTCTGTTTGTTTGTTGAATTTAGATTATAATCTGGCATACGAATCGCCAAGCACTTGGTACTTTCAATGCTTACCCTCTTTTAAATAAATTTAAACGCTGGTTTCAGCAACCAACCAAGTAAACCACAAGCAGGGAATAGTAACATCGATTGATTGATTGATCCAGATCCTTTGAAAGATTAAATTCTATTATAATATTTCAAAGAAAGTTTCACAGGCTACTGTAATCTATTTACAAAACTTCTGAATTCGTGCTGTGTCGGTGAACTTGCTAACGTATCGCCAATTATTGGATATTCTTGTCAATAGAAAATCAGACCAACATTATTTATTTATTTATATATTTCAACGGCTGAGCCAATTTACAAAGTAAAAGTAACAATATAAATAGCAACCTGACAAAACAACAACTTAGATAACAAGCTTTTTAAATATCCATATAGAACATATAAAAACACAAAAACAGTAAACAAACAGTATCACACTAGTTACAACTACAATCAACCACCAGTTATAATTTTGTCTTAAATAGTGGAAGATCGCCAGCAAAGGGATCAAGAGAGCAACTGTTAAATAACATCAAGGTTCGAGTTAAAGGAGAAAAATAGCCATAGTTGGCGTGATGAAATGGAATACAAAACATTGGGGAGCTCTAACGTCTTTGAACAGTCTCCAATCTATCAATGTGACATCTGTAATATGGAGGCTACACTACTGATACATACTCCAATGTAGATCTAACTAAGGAGCAATAAAGGGTTTTATGGATGAGAGCAGTGTACTATTACGGGTAATAAAACCCAGGTCTCTCATGTCCCTGTTAACAATATCCTCCAGCTGATCCAAAAAGGTCAGTTTACTGTCAAAGATGACTCCAAGGTCCCTAACTTTGCTGACACACTCTATCGTTGTATTGTTAATAATATATCTATTTTGAAGGATGTTAGTTAAGCGAGAAAAAGTAATACCAAAATGATTCAATTGTTTTGTAAAATTTAAAATCATCTGCAAAGTTAAAAGAATAAAGAACTACATCACTCAGATCTGATATAAACAAATTAAAGAAAACTGGGCCTATGTGTGAACCCTGAGGCACACCCGTGTGCACCACAATTTCGCTGGAAATATAATTGTTGATTCGGACCTGCTGTGTACGTCCTGTTAAAAAGCTGTGACAAAATTCAACTAGAGGACCACCCAGTCCCATGACCCGAAACTTACGAACAAGATACTCATGACTGACTGTCAAACGCCTTCGAAAAGTCCGTGTAGACACTGTTCACTTGTTTAGACTTCACAAAAGCACCCAACAGATAAGTCAGCAGGTTAGTCACAGTGGACCTACCCCGAGAAAACCCGTGCTGACAGAATAGTTTATCAAAAAGTTTGGGAATGACAGATTGTATTTAGGTCATTGTGTTTACAGAAAACCCACGCATACAGGCCGATACCCTAATGCATTGTCATATCACCATCCGACTCAAAAACCATCGGCTATCAACTCTCTTGTTTACAGAGCCGTCAAACTGTCTCAGCCCCGGATTTAAAACACCTTACCTCTGCTCTTCTCTCTAATAATTTCTACATTAAAGATATTAATCGTTACACTTCACACTTCACCATAACATTCCAATAGCAATGAAACGAAAGCAATCCCACACTTGCCACTTCAAAACATCACTGTCCCCATATCAAAATTTCTAAAGAAATATAACATTAAAACCAGATTTACCACTTGTCCAAAAGTCTCTCAACATCTTCGATCCGCAAAAGGCAAAATTCCATTTAAGATGCCAGGAGTTTACAGCATTCCATGCATATGCGGCAAAGAATGCATTGGAGAGAACGGACGAAAAATATCAACTAGGCTCAAAGAACATGAAAGAGCCTTAAGACCAAGACAAATAAACCCATCAGCAGTTGCCGAACACAATCATGAAACCGGACATAAAACTTTATTGGATAAAACTTCTTGCATGTAATCAACTCTTCTACCAACGAAAAATCCGGTAGTCTATAGAAATCTATAAGCAACCTAACAATGTTAACCGCGACTCAGGTCTTTACCTGTCACCCATATGGGGGCAGTCATCCGAGACGATGTTTAAGCCCCTGATTTAGCGCCGCACCCCCCGCTCAAACAATATATAAACAGGTGCAGAGTAAATGCGAACCACTTTCATTCAAGCTCTGAATCCAGAAAATTTGTAAATAGTAATTCTATGACTTCTTAACTACAAATTTATATGCGTGGTTTTCATTTGGAAAAAAATATTTCTATTTTTTTTTTATATTTGACTTTAACTGTAATTTTTTCATTAACCTATATTAATGGTTATAGAAATTATTTACTTATTTCTATAAGGTGTCACAGAAGAAACGTATATTTTTATCGTGCTACACAATGCTAAAATTATTACTTACTTACTGAAAGTGTAGCCATCTTAAAAATATATTAAGCGGATGGACTAACCCACTGCAGTTTAACAATAAAATTTCAAATGTATGTTTTAGTTACCATAAATATATAAAATGAGAATGTACACTATTATCGCTTGCAATCGGTGAAGTCCAGAAGCCAGAGTTTTGATATTCTCTTTTAATGTAAGCTAGTAGTAACCTTCTCAATTATGAGTTTTTTGTAAACTATGTTCTTTCAACGCTAGCATTTACTTTCACAACTCTTTCTAACTCTCCTCCTAACTCGATGCCATGAGGTTAGTTGATAATATTGACAAAAGTGATAGTAGTATTGACTTACTTAATTCTAATTTCAGTGAGGTTACTCTTCCAATATTCATCGGTTTTATTATTTACCTCAAACAAATTATTTTTTGATTATAGGGTATTGTACTGTTAGATATATAGTTTTTAAATTCGTGTTGCTCTCTAATTGGCCTGCTAAAAGCAATATGTTTGTTTGGAATTATACCCAAAAGCATTTATTGCAACATTTTCCACGTAACCTAAGAATTATTTTCTTTCAAAACAGTGAAATAATTTTTTCTTGGCATTTTACAGAGTATGGCAAACAAAATTTTCGATATTAATGTGCAAGTTTAGCATAAACGTTACTAACCATTCTATTTCTCTCTTCTTCGACTTGAATTATGAGATCACTGAAGTTCTTCAAGGAAGAACATATCACACGTTCGTCGTCGGTTTGTGTGCCGCCTATGCATTCGAACGTAAATCCACTGAGGCAACTCGCAAACGAACGTTGGGCGTTTCCCAATTCTGCAATAAAGGTTAATTAATTAACTATTAACAAGTTAATCGGCAGTCGAACGATGACAAACTTTGATTGTTTACTCCTAAAGAACAACCAATTATGGCGGCGAAAACATTGCGACTTATGCGACGGCTACGTTTTATATCTAGGGATTTGTAATAAAAAAAATATAAACTACGAACAAATATGACTTTATTGTTTTTCAAAATATTCACTCTGATGATCAATACACTTTTGCATTCGGTAAAACCAATCATCAAAGCACTTCTGCCACATCGATTCGAGCACCTCCAAAACATGATTTTTAAACAAATAAATAGTTTCTTCTGACGTCAAAAGTTATTCCTCATGTCATCTATTCTTAATGTATGGGAATAAAAAGAAGTCATTAGGTACAAATCAGGACTATATGGTGGATGGCTCATCAAATCAACGTTTTTAATGCTCAAAAAGTTCTTTGTCTTCGGCGGTTGGTTTTTCTAATTTCTTAGAAGACTTTCGGCAAACAAATGGTTGTGTACCATTCAGAATTGACTGTTTTACCTTTCACCAAAGAAATAGTTGCAACCTGGCCAGTTTTCCTGAACCGGCTACCATTTGTTTCGAGGTGCTTCGCGCACGAACCACTTTTGTGGGCTGTGTCTCATTCTGAAAGACCCAAACCGTGGATTGCTGCTTACTTTCAGGTTCATATGCATAGATCCATGATTCATCAACTGTCACGATATCATAAGAAGTATTTGGAAGCACCACGATCGTATTTTTTTAGCATTTCCTTCGACCAATCAACTCGAGCCTTTTTTTGAGCTGATGTCGAAATGTGTGGAATCCAACGCGAACAAACTTTTTTTAGCGGCCAAATGTTCATGCAAAATTGTATGTATGCTGGTCCCACTAATGCCCGAAGATACCTCAATCTGATGGTAAGTCACATGACAATCCTGCAAAATCAGTTTCTGCACTGCATCAATGTTGAATAACTGAAGTCCGAAAACCAGTGATAAACAGTAGTCCTAGATGGTGCTTTAACTCCAACAGTCGAATTAAGTTCATCGATGCATGGTTGTTGAGTTAGTCCTCTTCTAAAGTTGTAAAAAATTATTGCAATAAAATGCTCCCGATTAAGTTCCATTTTCAACTGTCACATTTTTTTTAATTTATCACAAAAAATACAAACAACATTTTTTCGCCAAAACTTAACTGAATAAACCTAACCTCAAAATGTCAAACTTCCCTATAAAAACGTTAGTCGCCAGATGGCAGGACTAGTTTAAGAAAATCCCGAAATATAAAAGGAAGCCCTCGTATTGAGATTTCTATAATACAGGGCGTTAAACTTTATTTAAACTCTAACATTTTTAGTTATAAATTAGTTTTAAATATCCAAAACTCTGTTTTGTTTTTTTTTTTCGTTTTTGTCAAAACATAATAAGGATACATTTTTATGAAAGCTCCGCTATAAATAAGCCTCTGTTATTGTTCAAAAACAGTTAAATGTATATTTGCAATTGTTAAACATAATTTATGCTAATAACAATAATATCCATTTTGCGCATGTTTCTTTATATCATTTTTATAATAAAAATATCTCACACAGCACGACTGATATCAAAAATAAACAAAAAAGAAAAACTATGCAAATTAAAGGGTTTTTTAAAACCATGGACTTCCATCGAGAAAATTTGGAGGCATCAGGGATAATTTTTATGCCAGTATGCCGTTTTAATTTACAAAATTTACATGAAAAGTTTAACCGAAGAGAGCAATTGTACAAAACATGTTGCAACAAAATATGTAAAAAACTGCGACGAAAATGTTCTTTTTTTATTTAGCAAATTGGAAGAAATAATTATTATCACTTAACTTAGGATTGCGCAAGATTAATGTTTGTTGGTCTTATTTTTCAAACATGTGTTAAACGAAATCTAGAGATTACCAAATAGAGAGACATAAACTAAATACTGAAGGTATATTCCCTATATAAATGAAATTAGCGAAAAAGATAGGAACTTAAAAAATACCTCATTGGATCGACTGCTTAGTTTTTTTTTTTTTTTTCAATCTCCAACGACTTTAGGTCTGAGGCATGCTAGAACTATCGCGTTACCCGAGAGTAACAAAAGAAGATGTTTCAAAAATACAACAAAAATCAAACAGCATAAGTCAAACAGACCAATTTCGACGCATCAAGACAAATCTAGTAAATTGTTTATATTAAATATTATTTAACCAGATTTCGACGACCAAGATATTTTTGTGTACAAAATGTTCACAGTTATTCGCGGAATTTTAAACACCGTCAATATATTTACGTTACGTATTAGAATAGGTTTTTAATAGCTTTTTAAGACGAAAATAGAAAATACGTACTAAATTAATGCTCAAATAGAACTAAATTCACTGCCACGGAAGAAGATTATCACACAAACAATATACAGCGGGGATATTGGAAACCATAAGAGATACGAGGATTAATAAATTAGGAAAAAGCAAATTTTAAAAGTTAAGAACGCGCAGTTGGGAAAGCTAAAGAAGTCCAATCAAGATACGATAAACAATTTTTTTTTCGATTTCGTTTTAATATTTTTCTGGTGTTATTTAAAGAGATATAAAAAAATTAAATCATCATTAATTTTATTTTTTCATATGGTCGGTGGAAAACCACACCACGTATTAAATACGTTGTTACGAATACAACGACGTACGACATAATATGATTCTAGATTGTTTAAATCGCAAAAAAGTTTTTTTGGATAGATTTAAAAATGTTATGTTGGAAGGACTGACTAGAGAGTGTTACGACCGTTTTTATTCTGTGCTTATGCAGTTTCGATTATGCTGTGGTTATGTTGCTCTCTCTGGCCGAGCTTCCATTAAGAAATGATCTGCGGTAGAGGAGATGAAAAAATGTTATAATAATGGTTTTGTTAAGTATTACATCTGTCCGTAAATTAAATAACCCAGAAAAGTGATCCGTGATTATTCCATTCATCCGCTGACGGTCTCTATATTTACTAAATTTTCAATGTTTTGGTGAACGCGCTCTCATGGGGGCTTTGAGAAAATGTCAAAATAAGTTTATTGACATATTGGTATGTGCCTTTGTTTAACGTTGTTGTGGCAAAGATTATCTACAAATCTTAAGCAGTATGGTATAGTATGATTACGCAATCTACTAATTTAATTCTGAGAAAACGAAAATTTCACTCGTTCAAATTTCGAATTTGTCAGGCGCTCAGACGCGGTCATGAAAAAAGTATATGATAACAAATATTATTGGGCAAGAAATAATCCTCGAGTAGACCGAATATCTAGACATCAACAGCGTTTTGAGTTTAATGAATGGGTTAGGATTTTTAGTACACATTTAATATATTGGTTCTCTTAACCGCGAGCGGTGCCGTAACCTCCTAGAGCAAGAAATTGAAGAATCTTTGGACAGCTTACCGCTTACAAAAGTTAGTTTTGGGTTCAACATTACGGCGCACTAGCGCACAGCGCCCTGCGTGCGCGAGTACCAATCGAACCGATTTCCGGAAAAAAAATTAAAAACAACATACAGTGTCCAAACTGCAGGAATGAAGAAAATGTTTAACATCGTCACTGTTTAAAAGGTGTGAAATCTGTAATTACTTTATTCGGTAAAAAATACAAGAGTTTTTCGCATTGTTTTATATTCTATTCAGTGTTTTCATTTAAATAGTGCATATATTCATATTTTATTGGAAAGGCTTTGGATCTCCTTTAAACTGAATAACTGCACCATTTCATAAACTTTCTTAACCATTCCTTTATGCAGCTATTGTGTGGTTCTAATTGTAAAATTAAAACGGAATTTCATATAATATCTCAAAACAATGGCAAAGACGTTCCGATTCATTTAATATCCCAAAGAACTTTACGTACATCCCCATATTTTCCAAATTCTTGGTTAAAGCATATGCTCAGTTCTTAATGGAAGAGAGATAAATTATTATTGAACTGCAAAACTTAAGCATCATAGGCGTAGTATTGTTCCTATGGTAATTGTCAACGGCAGCTCTTGGTAAAGTTCGTTCTTAAAAATGTTATGTTATGTAGATTAATGATTATTAAAACTGCGCTATTTGCCACCAAAACTCAAGATTCACTCACTGAACAAGTTGCAAGGATAGTGACTGGAGTTGGAATACCAACAATATACCGTCTTGTGCAGGAGGACAAACGCAGCCTCAACAAGTCACCAAGAGAAGTACAGAATTTAAAAGTAGCATCATTCATTGGCTTACTTTAAATAAGAAGCAATTGCAGAAAGAAATGCTGAAAAAGGAGTTACTGTAAATTTGAACAAACCTCTTGTCGATAAAATTGCTTCAAAATGAAATATAACGGTAAAGTCTGTTCATAGATATAAGAAATTGACCAATTGCTTTTGAATGGGATTATCTAAGTGTGGTCATTAACATACAATGCAACAAGATTATTACCTAAAGTTTCGGAATTTAAATTCAGGTAAAATTGTGGTCCGTAATAGAAAATAATTTTATACCCACCTGTGTTTAATATTCTTTGGTTTGGTATGCTACTTAGTTTAAGTTTATTAGTAATCATTCTTATTTCGTGTGTAATACCAGCGTGTGTTGAATCGTGTGCGAATTATGAAAAATACGTGCGAGTCTAGTGTATCTAATCTAATCTCCCGCCCAAATGTAGAAAACACTATTCTATTGAGACCAAGGAAGTTATAAACAATGTTTATTTGACTCTCAAACGGCCACATTGACGAAAATTCCAACATCAACTGTATGGAAAATTGTGAATAATCCCATTTCAGCGAGGAAAAAAAGAAGCGATGCTGACATGAAAGTGATCAAGATATAATGCGGCGTAAAATTTACCAGTTATACGAGGAACAAAGCGTGCCTACATTAGATATCTTAATTAGGAGGCATTAAAAAGATGAAACCGGTATTAAATGTTGCAGAACTACCTTATGGAAGTGTATTCAACAGATGGGTTTTAGATT